TGTTTAACTCACAAATTTAAGCCAGAAGTTCACCACTATTTACTACCTCATCAAACTTGACATTATATATTTGGATAGATGAATCATCCAGCCCAATTGCTATGATGTTACTGTCTTGGGGATGAAATGCCAGAAATGTTGCTGCAGGTGGAGGGGACTTGAATGTTGCCATTGTCTGTTGATAGAACAAAAATGTTATAACAAGCATGTTAAGAGTGTAACTCGTGTCTACCAAAGAGAGTAAATTGATCTAACTCATGTCCACCAAAGAGAATAAATTGTTTGGTCCATATATTCCCAAATCAAACTCTTCCAATATGTTCAACACATAATAGAAGTAAAAACACTTCATGATTCAACGTTTAACGGATAAATGCAAGAGATAAGCAGAACAAAACCCACTTACTTTGAAGGTAGATATATTATATAGAGAAATTTTCCCTCCTGACGCCGATATAACATATGAATCATTCTTGGACAGTGCAAAGCATGGCACCCTATCTTCAGGATTCATGCGATTAGTATGATTGGTCATCGGTATCCCACTACTAGGTTTCCATAATTGAGGCATAGTATTTGCTCTTGCCTGCAAGAAGTTGAATTGCATAAGAAGATGCTACTGGTGTTAATAAAAATTAAAAAAATTTGGGTAGTTTTCAAGTGTAATAGACCAATACCTCCCTCGTTGGGTTACAGTCACTTTTTGGCCATTTCCAGAGATTGTGGACAGCATTGGCATATAAAGCCAATATTGCTTTTCCTGAATTGGTATACATCAACCTTGAAACCTGATAAATTGATAGAACAGAATTTAGAGGGCCTCACAGAGTAGGACTAACAAATAGAAACCAGAAATTAACTGCAAGCAATCTCTCCATTATCTTGCGAGTTCTTTATATATATCTTAGGCTATATTGGTGGCCACAAAAATTGATAGAAACTCGATAACGGTGAAGTTTGTAAGGATACTTGATGTTGAAAATGGACTGGAATAAAATATATTCTCCAACTGTCAAAATTCTAGAGGTCAAAGACACAACTAACAAACAATTTAAAAACTTGAATCACTGTTATTCTAATTTCATGTAAAATGTTCGGATTTTTCTCTATCCACATGACCATGCTTATAAAGCATGAAGCAGGTTAGAGGAATGGATAGAAGTTCAAACTGGTCAAATTAAATCCATTTGTAGGCAAATATCTATCTAGGTATTTTAGATGGTCGATGGCTGAGTTAATTACTACCCTCGTCGACGTTAAACTATCTGGAACTCTCAGGGAATGACACTGCGATCGTTCATTCACTTCTGTCAGTTTCCAGATTATGGATTTCTCAGAGTGCTCATCTGCAACTTTACGATTCCCATCTAACAAATCTCGGCCATCTCCCTTCTGAAGAAATTGAAAAAAAACTGATCACGAAGTGAAAATAGAGTATTGCAATCTAATAACTCCTTTTAGTGCACGCAAGAACTAATGTCATATGAAATATTATGCAGTGCACATGAATAAATAAGCAATATGCAAAATGCTTTTTAACCATTGTGCCAAAGAAATTAATCTGAGTAAAAGTTTGAAAGCAGGATACCATTGAAACTGTGGATGTTGCTGGAGAAACTCGATCCTCAATGCTTGATTGAGTAGTAGCATTAACTCTACCCAAAAGCTGATCAGTTACACGCATATGTCCACAAACAGGGTTAATTTGTCAGGCTTAAGGTTCAGATTTGCTGAGGTGATGCTGCCACTTCAAGCTGCAAGCCAACACAGAGGAAAATGCCAATTTATCTTAGACTGAAAGAAAATGCTGATATTACATATTGAAAAATCCGTATTCAACATAATATTATACCATTATATAAACAAATCTTGAATTTTCAAAAACCCAAGTTTCTTCAGTGTACTAATGGTTAAGCTAATTAAACTTGTAAAGAATCGTCGATATACGATTAACTACTGATTAATATTCCCAATTTCTCTATAATCAGAATTCAATTCTTACTTGTCAACAGTTCGATGTTCTTTTCATCAAGAAATTGAACTACCAAAAAATACCAGTTCCTCGTCGAGCGACCACACGGTGGTTACTCCCTCACTTTCCATATCTGCCAAAAACAAATAAAGAAATGAAAGATGAACAATCCATAATCAAAATTGGAAAATCAAGAAGAGCGTCTCATAAAATTCAAATTCAAACCAAAACCCCCAAATTTCAATTCTAAATATAAGTAAGTAAACATGCATGCATGTCAGCTTCCGATGTGCGGGTTTTCTTTATAGATCTTTTTGTGTACGTGACACGAGCATACATATACGATATATGCAGGTATATTAACATAGAGAGAAGCGATTGTACATTGAATGAATGTGTGTGAGAGATAGTGAGAGAGAGAGAGAGAGGGAGAGAGGTTTGTCGGCGTTTCTTAAAGAGTACGTACTAGCGGAAGATGATAAGAGCGTTGATAAGTCCCAAGTGCTATAGACCGGGAAACAAATGAGATATTGCGAAGATCATACTATGTCTTAAATTTATTGAACTTTGTGGAAACAATACGAGTGATTTGAGTAATTATTACTATAGTCTGCAATAATGTCTTTATTATCTACGTAGTCCGAGTATTTTGACAAATTGCCAATTAGAGGTGATTTGGTGAGGAGTCGAAATTGAAAATCTGATTATTGTTGGACACAGACGAACAAGTCATTATATGTGCTTGCGAGAGTCTTTCAAAAGTTGTTTCGATAGGTTGACTTTGGGAGAGTAGAAATTAGGGAAAATTGCAGCTGAGGTACCAAACCTCTCGTTTATTAGCAGATTTTGTTCAAACCTTTAGTTTGTGCAACCGGAGGTACCAAACCTTCAAAAAATTCACATCCGAAGTCCAAATTGACAGAAACCGTTAGTTTGATTGTTATTGACAAAAAATTAAAGGTTTGACTAATTGTTGACTGATTTTTAAATGGGCAAATGTGTAACTTTACATTTTCATATAAAAAATTTATATAAAAGAATTATATTTAAAACCAAAATATAAAAAACTCCAATCATCTTCTCCACTCACCCCCTCTCCACATCCCCACTTCCCCCTCCCCAACGAAAACCATAAACCAGTTTGGTAAATGAACAAAACTAGTTTGCACTTTCAAAATGACTAGCTCCGATGAGAATGGCTCGTGAGAGGAGAAATGGGAGGAGAAGGAGAGGATATAGTGGAGATATTTGTAGGATTTGAGGGGTTGTTTGGGAAGAAATGGAATTGAAGGTTTTAAGGGAAGAGAGTAAAAGGGGGCAAAAAAAAATAAAAAATAAATAACAAGTAAATGAAATGGGCATTTGATGGTTTTTTTCCTTCTTTCTCCCAAAAAGTAGTTATACAAATGCACTGGTATTCGATGGGCTCTTGTCAATGGGCAAAGAAGGGTTTTTATTTTCTTTCTACCAAATTTTACTGATTTTTGGAGAGTGGGGAAAATGAGTTGCAAGGTTTGAAATTAGTTTTTGAAATTTCAATCAAGCTACCGGCGAGGGTGAGGAAGTCAGTGAGATTCCAACTTTGATTTTATTGGGAAATACCAGGTTTTGGTTCTTGGTGAGTAAAGAAGATGACTTTTAGTTTTGGTTGGGTGGAGAAGATGACTATTTTTTATTTTTTTATTGTTTAATTTAAATTATTTATATGAAAATGTAAAGTTACACATTTATCCCATTAAAAATCAGTCAACAATTGGTCAGACCTTTAATTTTTGGTCAATAACAGTCAAACTAACGGTTTCTGTCAATTTGGACTCCGAGTGCAAATTTTTTGAAGGTTTGGTACCTCCGGTGACACAAACTAAATGTTTGGGCAAAATCTACTAATAAACGAAAGATTTGGTACCTCGACTGCAATTTTCCCTAGAAATTATGCCTATCAATGAAAAAGATGGTGGCTATGGAAGCCATAGGTAGCCAAAAGCTCGTGTACCATGCCGTCTCCTACTCCTTAAGCCAACCCATCTAGCAGCACTTCCCTACCTCATAACAAACTTTTCCAAAGGAAAGATGACCCTTAAGTTGTATTGAGTCAGTACACAGATTGACCTTCGCGGTAAGGTCGCCATGCGTTTGAAAGAGGGGTAAGAAGCTCTCCTTCAGAATGGTGCGAGGGGCCCATAGATCAAAATTTCATTGAGAATAATTTAAGAATTTGTATCCTTATAAATTTCAAATTTTCCCTAATTTGTCTTATAAACAGCCATCATTGTATTACCATCGTAAAAGAAAGGGAGAGATTAGAGAAGATAAAGTCTCTTTTCGAGTCCCATTAACCAATAAAATAATTTTACACAAACTCAAAATATTTTCCTGCTTTTTAACGTGCATTCTTCAAAAAAAAAAAAAAAAAATAACCATTACAAAATCTTTTTTTTTTTTTTGGGTGTACAAAATGGAGCTCAAACAAAGGCAAAGTGTGCGATTTTCTCGTATAAATTTCTTTTTTGTCATATTAAATTTTTGCAGCTATTCAAATAAACTATTAATATGTCTAATCGGATTCGAACACACGAGACAAAATGCTAACTTATCCACTAAAATAACAAGACTTATATGTTGAAAATTTGAACTTTACCATTTGACATAAGTTTTAGGGAGTGTATTCAATTGAAACTTTTAAAAACTTTTTAAAGTGGGTGACTTTTGTGGACTTTGTGATATTTTAAGTGATTTCCATGAATTTGGTAGGAATTGGTAAAAACATATCCTAGATTTGTGGAGACTTTTACTAAAGACTTTTAAAAACTTTTAAAAGACTTTAGAAGACTTTTTTTTTAAAAGAAAATATTAAACACATATAATGTAATATGTTTAACAACTTCTTTTATATTCAAATCGTCCACAACTCATATAATTGAAAATGAAAACTAAGAAATCGTATTTTCCATGTCAATTTCTTTTCCAAAAAAAATTGAAGTTATATCAAGTAGATTAACAAATAATCAAAATATTAAAAAAATAATAGTATTTTAGTAATGATCAACAAAAAATAAAAATAAAAAAAATTAAACATTTTCAACATCATTCCACATGTCCGCTACTAGAGAAGCCTTCCATGCATTAACATTTTCTCTTTCTTGCTCTTGACTCTAAAAAAATGGTTTAAAGTCTTCCCCCTCATTAATCGAAAAAGATGATGAATCTTCGTTATCAGGCTCAATTGGAAATTCATCGGAACGACATTCTTTGCGGAGAAAATTGTGTAATCCTGCGCAAGCTAATACGAGTTCTGCTTGTGTACGAATGTACGATATAGAAATGGAGGAGCTGTTTTGAAAATTGTGAATCTTGATTTAAATATACCAAATATCCTCTCAACTACGTTCCTCAAGGAAACATGACGAAGATTAAACAAGTCCTTTATATTTTCAGGGTCACGATCTTGACCAACAAAATCTTGAAGATGATAACGGACACCTCGAAAAGGAGTTAAAAACTGACGTCGATTTGAAAATCCATAGTCTCCCAAAAAATATTTACCTGAATATGAATATAAAATAATTGTAAAGTTAACAAGTAATTTGAAACAATAAGATAAAAGAAAAAATGAAATAATTAAGCCGTACCTTTTGGCACTTCAAGTCCATTTCTCTTTGTTAAAGCATCACTCAACACTTTAGAATTATGTGCTGATTCCTCCCACCCACTAATCACGTTTATAAATTTCAAATCAAAGTTACAAGCGGCCAAAACATTCTGAGAAATTGTTCCATGACGATTTCTATAACTGCTTTTATCACGTCCAATTACCATTGCTAGAATATGGATACCATCAATAACTCTAATACAATCCTGAAAATAATAAAACAATACAAAAAATTCACAAAAACACTAATGAAAACATAAAACAAAAAATATAATAAATCTTATTTCATCACTTACTTTAAAGTATGGGTAAAATCTTGTAATTTCCCTTATTTTTTCTAGCACGGCGAATCTCGGTTTGACTATCATATCTACCGCAAATTTGTTTAATGTCTGTAAAATCTTGTTGAAACTTCAGCTAGTAATGAAATGGGATCGACCAAATTTTTGACGACTCAAGCAATATCGAGTATTTTGACCAGGTAGGAATGTTGCAAGCATTTCTTCAATACAAATATACCTAGTATCCTGTAAGTTTTTTCTTTAATGATATTGCTTAATTTAGAAATATATCCAGGTACATTTTATAAACTTGTCGAAAGTTTTCTGGATCCTCCTTTAATATTTTATGTATATAGTCATATTCATATCTAGTTTTCGGTCGCCTAGTTAGTGAACGTGTAATACGTCTACAACACATTGTTTATATGATCATTTATCACGTAGAGAATTGCTTGAATTGCCATCCATAAATACTAACTAGTTTCATATAATGCTTCTTTATAGTCGTCTTCTTCAATCTCATCCACCTCTTTTTCATGATCTTCATTAATGTTAAACACTAGACATTATATATATATGGAAGTACCTAAAATAAAAGGAACAAAAATTAAATCCATAGACAAGGAAAATGATAATGTCATGTAAAATGAATCACAATTGTTGTCAAATTAATAAAATATCAAAAAAAAAAAAAAAAAACAAAAAAAAAATAAAACGAAAAAAAATTAAAAAATTTTAAATTGAAAAAAAAATATTTATATGAAGAAAAATTACTATGAATCATGTCCACAAAACAAAGCTTCAATTTAATTTAAATGTTATCCATTTAGAACGTTCTTCGGGTGTCATGTTCAAGAACTCAGACTTTTTTGCTTTTGTATTAAGCAAATCAAGGACCTTAAAACGATCATCATCCTCCAAGTTTGGGATGTCCTTGATAATGTTCCAACAATTAGGCTCTCTGGTGTCAATTGATTCAATTGCTTGAGTGATCTTGTCAAATGTACTAGCAAGTTTATCTAAAATGCCTAATTGAGTGCTTTTGGGCTCAAACGAACTAGATTTTGCTTCAAATTCTGTTCTACTTCGTTTTCGAATTAATGGGCAAACCCCTGAACTTATAAGATCTTGTTTATCAATTACTATAAATGTTTCAGTATCAGGATCATACATGAAGTCGTCTATTAAACTGTCGCTAACTCTTCTTTCTTCTGTATAAAATGTTCTTGCATCAGTATTATCCCCTAATGCAATTGAGTGTGTCCCAACAGCTGTCCCACTTCCCATTGCAATTCTCAAATCCTCATAGTCTAGAAAAGTGTCTGTGCGATAACTTTTATCTTCGGAATGAGACTATTAAAGAAAAAAATATTTATAAATGTTAACATATGAAACATACACTTCACTGACCATTAACTCAAATTTCATAAGTTTCTAAATCAAGTAATAAAGGAAGCTCACCATAAAGTAATCGTCCCATACTTCATCACTAGCAGTAAATTTCTTCGTCACATGATCCCATCCAAACCCAGAGTTATGTCGCATAAAAAGTCAAGAGAACATAGCCACTCGGTTTCCAAAAATTGACATATCATTGAGACTTATTCAAGTGAATGGAATATTAATCTAGACTAATAGAAAACCAACTTAAGTGCTCGCTAGGATCATGGCTCAACAAATAGAGGAAGAAGCAAATAGAGCAACCAAATAGAAAATACTTTCCATAAAAGCTATAGTCACACCCCTTCCCCTCCCTGAGGATGATGGTGCTGGAACAACAAAGTAGACGAGGAAGCAGTCTTTCTTTCTTAACCACGTTTATTTTAGTGTGTCAACCAGCTTTACTGTCTTTATCTCAGTTGTACCATATGAATCATGTAGCTAATTTAAGTGAAGAGTGTAGTGGAATTTCTGTCAATTAAAGCATCACCAACAGTTTTTGGCGTTCACAAATACCTCCTTAAAGGTCTGGGGGCTATATCTTTTTCTATTTTCTACTGCATAAACTGAAAGTTAGCAAAAGATTTAATCCCCAGAATCTCATAACTTGCAAGGAAGAAAATGAAACGCCCTGGATTATTTTAGTGCACATTTCCAAAAGAACCTGGCAAATTATAAACCAGATGCCAAGAAATTTATATTTACATCCAAATTCACCAGAAAGACAGATAAAATCTGATCCATCCATCTATAGCCATCCATTTTGATGACACAGCTAGTTTTCTTGGTTGTTAGCCTGATGCTACATCCATCTTGATGACACAGAATCAGAGAAACAAACAAGAAATTCCTCAAGACCTCTACAATAGCTAAAAAATGAAGCTTTTTCCATTCAAAAACAAATTAAAAAGGAGAAAAGGAAAAAGCATGAATGAACAAGAAAATGTGAAATTAAATTCATTTTAATCTTTACCAGCTTCCAAGTTAAAGCATCTCCTTCAGTTGTCTATACAACATAAATAATGCACCACATATTAGACCATATACAAGAAGCAAATAGAGCAAGCAAGCAACACCAAACAGATTATTTTTCCAATCCAGAAATTTTAGATAATTGCGTTGATTTATCATACTTCACAATGGAGCAAGAATTAATCACATAGCCTGAAATAATTTTATAAGAAATCAAGTCAATAATAATGATCATAAATCTAGAAACCAAGCTACAGAATTGAACAACCAAATACAACTCCAACAAACAAATCCCTCATCCACCCCACCCAGCTCTACACTCACACACGGTTATGTCTATGTGCTGCCTATTATGTCTATGTGCAACAAAATTTCATCAAATTGACAATAAAAAGGTGGAATTGAAATAAATTCAGACTTGAGAACACAGAATGATTATTTAAGTTTTTAAAATGATTAATTATAATGCATAATGTTAATTCGCAGATGGTTGGGCTCTGTATTTTAAGTAAATATTACCAATTATTGTACTAAACTATATTGCTTATTATAAATTAGGGCTAAACTAATNAAAATGTTATAGTATCATATAAAAATCAGATCTTCATGAAATTATCAAATCCAACTGCTAAAATCTGATTCAAATCCATCCCAGCAACACCCTCAAACCCAAAAATAAAAATAAAAATAGCAAATCTCGAATTGAAGGATAATTCGGTAGTCCACAGAAAAAACCCATATCAAATTATGAGTTCCTGAGGCTTTCCATCTCCTATAGTAAAGAAAAGAGTCAATTATTACCTGATTGAAGGGGATGGAGGAGAACCCTAGAAGAAAATTGAAGAGCTGGCTTCAATTGTGAGATGAGTGATTTTGCTTCGAGAATTCTATTTATAGTTTCTACCTAAAATCTCCCAAAGTCTAATAAATTATAAATTTTCCAAAAGTCTTCCTAAATTGAATACCCAGATTCCTAAAAAGTTTCAATTGAATACCTCGTAATACACTCTGACTTTTAAAGAGTCTTTCAAAGTCTCAATTGAATACACTGAAACTTTTTTAAATCTCCCAAAGTCTTTAAAAGTTTTCGTTGAATACACCCCCCTTAAGCTATGATGCACCAACACGGATATGTGTGTCTGACATGATACGTGTCAGATACGTTGACATGCAATTTTCAAAAAAGTACCGACACAACACGTTACCACTTTAAAACTCTTCGTTTATGTTGTATAAATTTAGTTTTACACTTGCTATTAATATTTCTTGTTGAAATCTTTCAAATATGAATGTTTATTTGTAATTTACTAATAATTTCAGGTAAAAATGTATAATATTAATAAAAATAAAAAAATCATGGAAGAGTGTCAATTTTCGACACGCGTCTGATATGTGTCGAACACGAACACATTACCCTAGTTGAAGCACAGAGGTTTTAAGTATATGTCAAAAAAATTCTATAACTCCAAAAAAAAATTTTTTAAAATGTTGAAGGACCGGTCGTCCCTCCGCAACCCTCATCCCTCTTCTCCCCGTACGATGCATGTGATACATACACATAAAGGAAGCAATGCATCAACATGCTTAACTATTTCAAGTGAAACAGATTGTAGCTTCTAAAGATGGAAACCTTTGAATTCATGAACTTTTCAAGTTGTTGTAACAAATAAAAGTTTAAACCAAACAAAGGTAGGAATTAGGGTCCAAGCATACACTAAATCTACCTTGCTGAGACCAATCACGACATCAAATGACCTTCACCTGTCATCATTTAATTGTAAAGATGGACAAAAAGTCCCGTTATTCATTGTAAAGATGACTAACAACATGGCCTCTGGCCTCTAAACTAACCCTAAAAAACTGACCTACAACTATATCATCATATCAAGCAGCGTTTCTTTGAGAAGCAAAAAATTGGCACTATCCTAAAACACGAGAAATATGCTCAATTGGTTTCATGGGGAGGCCGCTGTGTGTATACACGTACTTATTTTCCTTTGAGATTGATTAGAACTAGATGCAGCACCCGTGCTTGAACAAGCACTGTTTTCTTGTAGAGGTATGGTGCCCCACTCACCTTCCAAATCTAGTGGCTCAATTACACACACTCCACCATCAGTAAGTCCTAATGCAAATTCGTTAGGCTTGTGAGGGTGAGCAGCAATAACTAAGGGATAGGCTGATATGCTGCAAAAGTCAGCATCATTAGATAATGAGTATGAGGAAGAAAATATACTTTGATAATTGCAGTTAGTATTAAGGAATTACTTTCCAAAACAGATGACAACAAGATCAAGCCAACAGATGACAGCAAGTCTGAATCCATTCCATGATTTGAGGAATTGTCTCCACTAATTGTAATTGTTCCATCTACGTGAAAATTGTAATTGCAACAAATATGCTAGTCTCTCCTTTAATTATGCCAATTCCTGTAATTACTCTAGGACACAACTGCTATATATATGTACAATTCCTTTTAATAAAAGATACGAGAATTTCCATCCTGTTAGTATTGTTTTATGGTATCAGAGCCAAACCGTGACCTCTGTCTTTCTTGCTCATTCGATCCCATGGCCTCATCCAATACTCCTACCAACCCAGCAAGCATCCATAGTCTGGTTACAGTCAGGCTCACCAAAGACAACTATCTCCTTTGGAAAACACAAATCGTCCCTTATCTGTGTGACCAACGTTTGTTTGGATAGGTTTATGAAACCATCTCTACCCCCCACCAACTATAACCAACCCCGATGCAGCAAGCTCCACCTCTACCCAACCAGAAACTCCCCACCCAAAATTCCACTCCTGGTATGACCAAGACCAGTTTGTTCTCAGTACCTTGGAATCCTTCTGTCTGAAAGCATCTTGGCTCAGATAGTTGGTCTCTCAACTTCTAGAGAAGTTTGGGTTTCCCTTGAGAAAATGTTCTCCACCATGTCTTCGGCTCGAGCAATTCATACTCGCCAATTCTTGGTTCTCACCAAGAAAGGAAATATGTCCATCTCTTACTATTTTCAAAAGATGAAGTCATACTCTAACACCCTTGCTGCCATTGGTCAGCCTCTATAAAGTCATGAGTTCACTGCCTACCTTCTTGGAGGCCTCGACTCAACACATCATATGATGCCATTGTGACTTCCATTTCCACTCAAGCCGACAAAATGACCTCTGAAGAGATGTTTAACCATCTTCTCAGCTTGGAGTTACACCTAGACCAACCACAATCTGCTCTTGACGCCACAGTAGGTTCGGTCAATGTGGCAACCCGGAATGACCAACGCAATCGCGGCGGAAATTCCCAACAAAACCAAAGTTCATCACAACTTCAACAATCTTACAGCAACTCCTACTTCAAAAATAGAGGCTGTGGTGGATGTGGGCGAGGAAACTCACATCAGAGTAACCCTTCCAACCCGAGACCAACTTGCCAAGTGTGTGGCAAAACTGGTCACACTGCCGTACAGTGCTACTATCGCTTTGACCATGCATATAGAGGGGCTCCTCCAACCATGACAGCATACATGACATTGCTTTCATCCACTCCAGACACAAACTGGTACCCTGATACTGGCTCAACAAATCATCTCACAAATGATTTACAGAACCTGAACCTACACACGAGGCCATACCATGGAGGTGATCAAATCCATGTCGACGATGGGGCAGGTTTACCTATAAAGAATATTGGCTCTGCCACTATATCAACTCCAACTCCAACTCCAACTCACTCTTTCACTTTATCTCAATTATTACATGTACCATAGATTAAAAAGAATTTGATATCTGTGAGTCAATTTACACGTGAAAATTATGTTTATATTGAATTTCACCCATCTTTTTTTTGGTGAAGGACGGAACAACGAGGAGAATTCTAATGCATGGCAAAACTAAAGACGGGCTCTACTTTTTCTCACCATTAGCTCCACCACCAACATCTCGCCTATCCTTCCTCTCCCATCGTGCTCCTCTTGATATTTGGCATTGTTGGACGGGCCATCCATCTTATCAAATCGTTCGACAACTCGTCTCCAAGTTCTCTCTACCTCTCTCATCAAATAAAACAGTGGGTGTGTGTTCCCACTTGTCAACAAGGAAAGAGTCACCGTCTTTCATTTTCTGAGTTAAAGTCCATTTCCCACTCTCCTCTTGAATTAATTTTCTCTGATGTTTGGGGTCTATCCCCTATTATATCAACTAATGGAAATAAATATTATGTGTCATTTGTTGATCATTTTAGTAAATTCATGTGGTTCTTTCATATACCCAACAAATCAAATGTGATACAAATATTTTGTTCCTTCCAAAAACTCGTTGAACGCCACTTTGAAAGAAAAATAAAAATAGTACAAACGAATTGGGGCAGAGAATACTGCTCCCTCCACAAATACTTTGACAAAATTAGCATTCAACATCGTGTAACTTGTCCTCATACGTCACAACAAAACGGGTTCGTCGAGAGAAAATGCCGTCACATTGTTGAAACGAGACTTTCTCTTCTATCTCATGGCAGTGTTCCCCATGTCTATTGGGATCATACCTTTTTAATGGAAACGTATCTCATAAATCGTCTCCCCACAACTCCACTTGGTATTTCTCCATTTGAAAAACTCTATAAACATGCTCCTGATTTTTCACTACTTAAAATTTTCAGGTGTGCTTGTTTCCCTAACCTCCATCCCTTCAATCAACACAAACTTGATTTTCATTGGTCTCAGCAACATGCATCATGGATACAAGTGCCTGGACACTTCCAGTGGAAAAATATTCATATCCCGACATGTAATATTCGATGAGACCATCTTTCCATTTGCCAGCCCATCACACACACTACCACCACGCCCACATATAGCCCAACCGTTATTTTACCATTTCCTCTCAACATCAATGACACCCACTCATCCTCCCATGCATCATCCCCTTCTGCCAATGACATGTTCCCCATGCCCCTCCCCTTACTGAAACGACGACGTCTCACTCCAATTCTCCCAATCACATTTCGTCTCCCACCTCAAATAACTCATCTACATCTGGTTTATTGTCACCTTCACCTGCTCCATCCTTAAACACGTCCATCACCCAATCATCAATAGAACTTACCGTTACTACAGATCCTTTGGTGCTCTGTTCCCACTAAATGACCACACGGTCTCAAAACCGCATTGTGAAGCCCAAGACTTTCACTAATGGAACAGTCCGCTACCCACTTCCACAATCTTTCTTTGTCACAGGCGGTGTCCTTGACTTCCCCATGAACTATACAAAAGCAAGCAAATATAGTGAGTGGCGCAATGTAATGGATGAGGAATTCACAGCTCTGATGAAGAATGGCACCTGGTCTCTAGTGCCTCCACAATCGAACATGAACATTGTTGGCTCCAAGTGGATTTTCAAATCCAATTATAAAGCCAACGGCAGTCTTGAACGTCGTAAAGCACGGCTGGTTGCCAAGGGCTACCACCAACAACCTGGAATCGACTTCAATGACACATTTAGTCCAGTGATCAAGCCAACAACCATCCGACTTGTTCTAAGCATTGCAATCTCCAATCGCTGGCCAATCCATCAA